AAGGAGACGAAATAATTATAGTTTGAAAATTGAGGTCCGTTCTCGCTAAAGTTTGAAAAGGCCCATCCACGTATCGAACTAAATTCCAAGCATTTGCTCTAAACTTTCCAAGCTATTGTACGGTTAGTACGGTGAATAATAAAACAGATATATTTTTTCAAGTTTATTGTTCCTTTCCAATCTTTGGCCAATTGCACTGTATCAGAATTACTCAATATATCAATACTCATCATCTGCGCTCACAATTTCTTCTTCTATCTTAAGCTCTAAAATACATGAAAACTATTTCCATAGTTTTATAACTCCATCACGGGCAGCTGAGGCTATATAAATTTGTCCTTTATCAGTTTTACACATCAGCAAGTCAGTGATAGCGTCGTGATGGCTAGCCGACGGCATATCTGGTCCCGAGCGAGGATTCTCTTCAGTTGCGGGTCTTAGCGAGTTTATATCTGGCGCATTATTCATTGAGATAATTTGCTCTTTAATAACCTGACTACCTTCGATTAAACGTGAACTGAAAATTGAGGAAAATGAATGGAGGGAATGAAATATTTGTTTGCGAAACATTATCATTATTACTCGTATGTAAATGAAATATCATTTAGATTATCTTTAGCTGATGGCACTATTAGAGCTGAATTTTTTGGCTGACCAATATCCCAAAATCGTATGCGTTGATCTGAACTACCTGTTATAATGAAAGGAGAGTTGTCCACCACTCCACTAAGAACGCCGCAAGTAGTAGCTGGATCATTCTAAAAATTTAAATCAAAGGAAAAACATAATTTATTTTTTATTTGATTTTAACTACCATGCTGGCATAAGATAGCACGGGTGCTGAACTCGCCCACAATACGTTATGCCGATGACCGGTTTCAATATTCCATATGGACACTTCATTATTAGATTGAGAAGCTGATATCAAGCAAGACGGTTCAGTTGGATGACAGGCTATCTTACGTATCCAAGAGTCAGCTGGATGTTTAATTTCGGCTATTGGTAATCGGAACCTTAAATCCCAGCATATATGTTTGCCACCGCTTGTACCGGTGGCTAACCATGATCCAGCCGGATCAGCACAAATGGTTGTTATAACACCGTGACGTAATTCATTTTGCAAACGCCACGCGCTATTTTGCATTCGTATATCCCAAGCAACTATTTCGCCATATAATGTGGCATAGATTACAACACTCGTTGGATGTTGTTCATAGGAGTGCATATCGACAACCGGACCATCATCCGCACTAGAAAACGTAGAACATTAAAATAATTTTTTTCTTTTTGAGATTTTCATACTTTTGATCCAAATGCATTGCCTGCTGTAAAGCCATTTTTGAAGAATTACGATCTAAACGTAAAAGCATTAAACTTCCATCCTTTCCTCCAACGGCCAGACACTGGCCATTATCACAAGACGCCAACGAGTAGATAGGAGTACTGGCAGAATAGGCTTGACGCGATCTATTAATAGCCTGGCTGCCACTTAATTTATTAGCGTCCCACAAGCGGACAGTTCCGTCTATACTACCGCTGGCAAATAGCGAGCCACATGGTTTTAACGAAGCTAATTTAATAACTGATTCGGAATGTTCGTGCAAATGAGCGACCATTGTGCCAGTCAACCGCCAACCCTGGGGGTAAGCAGAGATTTGCTTATCCAGATGACTGCGTTGCGACAATGCCAAGATACTGTAGCGACTTTTAAATTTCACTCTCAAATTCTCTAAATCTTTGCGGCACTCAGACGAGCGTTCTGCAGACTAAATATTTTGAATTTTTTATTTTTTTTTTTAATTCGAATTTGCGTACCTTGCCAATAATTTCTTTCCGGCATGGTGTACTCTCCTAAGGAAGTAGCCGCACTCATAGTCGTCATAGTTGTCGGCTGAGTGCCTAAAACAAGAACACCTGAAGACGGACTACCTGATAAACCACCTCCAGTCGTTGCAATATCGGAAGCAGTTGATGCCAAGGTATTACCATCGTTAATGCGAGCTTCCAAAGACAATTTAATACCCGACAGTTTATCAGCTAAAGGGTATTCGTGGCAAATAATATTCTTTCGATTTAAAACAATTCGTCCGTTGCTTGATGAAGGGTCTCCAGTTTCTTGCTGCGATTTGCATTTTAGTTTAAGCAGGAAACTCTTCATTGCCAATAATTGCATTTCGACTTGGTCCGTTAAGCCTTCTGAAGTCAAGCGGCGAAACAGCTAAAAGGGAACGACGTAATCGACTTTATAGCTCTAATTTAATATATATTTCTTGTTTCACCTACGTTGCACAATGTTTGTCCCATATCCTCATATTGTGGCAACATACCCTGTCGCGTATTTTGCCGAATTTTTGCTCTTTCTTCCAGAGCATCTATGAATTTTTGAACATCTGCAAATCGTAAAACGCTATCGTAGACCTGCCTTGGTATGGGCGTTTGCAGACAATCCAAAAGTATATCAGGTTTTTCTACTTGAATCAGTGGCGTCTTTAAAAAATTTATTATAGCCGGTAAAACTTTACATTGAACATCTATTGCACTCAAAGTTCGAGCAGTAGTGGTTATCATACCGCATATCTCATGGCGTATCCACAGGTTAGGGTGACACAAATAGCAAGCGGTCTCCTTCAAAATATCTGTTACAGTAGGCTTTTTAATATGACCTAATTCAATAAGTATTGTTATTGCTCGTATAGCTTTCGCGATAACAAACTCCTCTCGATCAGTGAAACCCTGCTGAAGCAGAGGAACTAAAATATCAGAAACTTGCCAGCCCACATAACCAGCTACACCAGCGATATTATCGTAAAATGAACCTCTTAAATTTTTATCTTCATCGTTAAGAAATGTCATAATGTGTGATAAAATGATATCGTTGGCTAAAAATAATCATTAGAAAATGTTATAAATGTAATTGTGACAGCTATAGTATTCACCTTTCTCCTTGCCAAAGAAAGCGCATAAATCGCATATATTATATTCCATTAGAGTTTGTTTTACCACCGGCTTAGGATCAGTTAGGAGACTTAACACTGTAAGACGTATTATTTCGTGCAAGGCATTCAATTCAGCTTCATAACGTCTAGTTGGCATGTCGTTAGGAGAGTTCCGTTGAGTTTCCTCCAAAAAATATACCGCAATTTTTGCCAATTTCGCTAAAATTGAAAGTGAAGCAATATTAGAAATACTTTGTGTTTTTATGTTAAATCTTCTACCGATATTTCTTGCAAATGCTACCCTTACAATAACAGCACTTTCTTCGCAGTTGGCCAGTTTAGTTATAGCCGGCAAAATATATTCCGGAAATACGTTAGCATCACTACGCGGTATTTCTTTTACCATACTCAGACAAGTAGTTAAGGTTTCTATGGCTTGAACTTGCACTTTGGCTGAGGAATTTTGAGCTAAATGCAACTGTACATAAAAAGCAAGGGCATAAAACTAGCATGAAAAAGAAAGTCTTAGGCCACATACTATGTATGGTAAAATTCTATCCAAGATAGTTTCGGACGTTGTATATTTGGAAAGCTTCTGCAAAATCTCCAATGAGCATATCATAGTGTTTGAATGCTGCAGACCACGTATACAAGATGTCACTACAGTAATTATTAAGATTAGACCGTCCTGTTCCGCTGGCATATTAACACAAGTCTCCGAATCAGTTTTCTCCTCGTTGGTTATACTATGATGACTGCCTTCATTATCGGGAGTTAAATCAGAAGTAGCTGTACTTGCTGTTAAGACCAATATACAATGATTTATATCGGAATGTAAACGTAAGATTTTATCATCGGGTGACATAATTTGAAGCGAAGAGAACATTTGCAAATACGATTGTAAAAATGAATAAAAGTATTCGGGAAATAAACGACCTCGCTCCTGGTCCAAATAATCTTCTGCACTTTTACGATTTGCAGAATTTAGATCAATCATCGAAGTTAAAAGCTGACGTAAATTTTCATTCTCGATGCCTTGCAAATGCCTTTCAACCAGTTCACGTTCTCCGCGCCGGTACGCAAGTAGCTGAGAAAGTTCAAACGGAGCAGTGCCCTCAGTCCATAACTCTAAGAGAGCACACCTACAAAAGCTCATAAATTATGCATATATTTAATAATAAAAAAAATTTCTACAAACTTACCCAGCTGAAAAGATATCCATCGCTGGTAACACTGTGTTGCCCGAATAGTAGGGACCCAAGCGTATTATCGAATCAGTTGGAAACATGGATACATTGCCATCAATATCTTCTGATGACAACGTTTTTACAAATCTCTCTGGTGCTATATAGCATGAACGACGCCGGCTTGTGTCAAAGAAATATGTATAATCCGCTGGATTATCTTCTGGTAGATATGTAGGTTTGAAAGAGGCAAAATCTGACAATAGTATCCAATTCCAGGAAGTGATAAGAATATTTTCTAATTTTATATCACCATGACATATTTTCTGCTTGTGACACTGGTTCAACGCACACAATATTTGAAACGTTATCCACTTCTTTTCTAAGACTGTGAGAAATGGTCTTGTTGATACACGATCATATAGACTATGTTTGACATATTCGCGCATAATATAAGCCGCCTTATCTGTCAGCTAATAAAAATTGGAACTATAATAAAGACTTATAAGCCGGCGAAATGCATCCTTACTTCAACGCGTTGAAAAGGCAAACAATTTACTCCATTAGCTAGGGTTAATGTTTTCTTTATATATTCCACACGATCTTTATGATCTTCTAAAGGTAATGTGGGATCATGTTTGACAAAAACTTTAACCACAATCAAGCCCTCTTCCGATTTAGCTTTAGCCACTTTAAAAAATCTTGTGCTACCCATACTGAAAGCGAGAGTGTAAGCATAAATGATTTTATACAAATTTTATTAAATGTTGCACAATTTTTACTTTGAATCAAATATAATCTCCGTGCCAAAGTGACCTGAAAAATAGTGTTCCACCGGATAGATCTGTGATGGTGCTATTCCAACCAATTGATTACCCATGCTTTCTATTCAATGTTTTTCTGGTTTCTCCATACATAAATTTACTATGTACTATATATATGTATATATATTTATATATATATATATATATTATTTTTCCAAAACTAGATATATACTATGCTTTTCCGTCGACACAAAAAAATTTTTTTCTTGAAACTAGTTATTTGCCGCCTCAATATTGAAAGAGACTCAAGATTGTTTGAGCTTTAGCAACAAAATGAGTTTATTTGTTGATATTCGTCCCCCTTATCTTTTTATTGCATTTGGTTGCTATTATTGAAATATTTTACATGCTCTCACTTCCACCTGTTTTTTTTTTCTGTTTTTTGAAGGAGTAAAGGAGTTATTTGTGTTCGTTCTGCAATTTTAATAAATAATGTAATTTTTTTTATTGTTTGCTACTAACAGATGTTTGGAATCATGACATTTAATCATAAAGTGTCTGCACAGGGTTGCCTAACAAACTCAAAAGTTTGCAGTACGTTTTCCATAATCGAAGAATAATTGTAAGGCGGCACTATTGCGTGACAAAAAGTTCCATCACTGTTTTCAAAATTCAAATTAATGAAATATCATCGACTTTTTGTGTTTCTATTTTTAATAATAGCAGTAACGCTGCTAATTCACAGCCATTTGATTTATGTCTTCAACATTCTGGTTGAACTGTTGCTGTGTATGACAGGTTTCCATCATTTCCTTTTGCTTTGTAATCACTGAGAGGTTTCTTTTTTAAATTTGGAAAGAAAAAAAACAAGAAAAAGATTTTTTGGAAGAAAGAGATAATAATAAATATTACTGCAATGAGCAATGCATGCGATATGCGCAGCTGTACATAAAAGCGCGCAATTGATTTTTATATTGACAGTTGCAGACAATGCAAAAAGCACGTCTCTATTACGATAAATAACTCATACGGAGAGCTCATTTGTATCATAGACTACACGCGAAACCAAACCAATGTTAAGGGTTTTTGAACAAAGCCGATTTATTGTTTTTACTTATGTGCTCAAGCATGATGGGTAGTCTTTACTACAAATTTGCCGACATATTTTCGCAATTTCATTCATATACGTTTTTTCATGAGTTTTATTACGTCTGCAAATTAAATATTTGATAGTAGGTGCCGTCGTAGTCTATTTGCAGATAATTAAAATTTTCCATATTGCGGGTAATGTCTTTTTTTTGTATTTTTATTTTTCGCGACATATACATGGGTCCTATTGCAAACCAATAAATAAATAAGCAAATTCCAAAAAAAAGAACGAAAATATATCAATAGATTAAATTAGATGGTTAATTAAATTTGAAAAATCCAACTAAAGTCAATTTCTCCTACTACTACTCTGACCCCGATATAATAAATTTTTATAACGCTCTTTCCGTTTTGATTCCATCCGAGATCGTCTGATTATGTCGCGTTTTACATCAAACGCTAAGGATGTATCGGAGCAATCTTTAGTGGGCAACAGAAAAGTCCATGAACCGTATATGGTATCTATGCCACCACAAGTGCGACAAAACCCTGATAAAATAAAATTTTTCGAAAGCTCTTGAATCAACCATCTACAATAATAAAGAATGTTGCTCATATTCTTACCAAGAAACGTGGCTGCCAAATTTTCTATTTTCTTTTCGGCATACATATAAAAAGGACCGCCGATTTGCTTTAAAGTATTTCCGCCAAATTTCCAGTCCAAATCCATTATATTGTGCGCTTTTGGCGGTACGCACTCTTGTATGTCGATATTTAAATTTTTGTTTTTATTTTCCAAATCATGATTCTTTTGACCACTTAAATTCATATCAAAGCAAAGGCCTAAAATTTGTGAACTCCACGAACCAACTAAGTCACAAGGAGTACCTGCAACAACATATCTATAGAGCAAGAGTTCCACTTTGATTACATGAAATTAATGTATTTACCATCGGGATGAGCAGTTTCATCTTCGCTGTTTGATTTGTCCTCTTGTATCTTTTCCAGTTTCGTTAGAACTCGATCGAGAATTGCGCTTAGATTCGCTGCGCTCTGAGAACTGCTCTCCAAAGAATATTCATTATTTTCGGGGGCATAACTAAAGGCTGCCGCAGCGTTGCTGTCATGAATGTTCGCTTCAGTTCTCTGAATGAGAGAGGCCGCGGTTGTTGTAATAACATTATTAATTACTTGCTGTTTAACCGCAATGGCCGGTGCTGTTGTTTTTGTTGTTGCAGCACGATATGCGGGGTTATTAGTGGTTCTTAGTCTCTGAGCTCCTGCAGACGTGGTAAATGAAATCGGGGCTAAAAAAGGTTTGGGACTTACTACTAAATAAGCGTAGCGCGCATGAGTATATAAAGAGAAGTCAAAAAGAAAATTTTAGTTCGAGCGTCCATCGTAAATGAAAGCTAAATTCTTAAGTGTTGGCAACGCAGATAATTTTACTAAATATTCCATTTAAACTACTTCGACATCTGAGTTATATGAAATATAGGGATATGATGGGTAAAACTAATGTGAGTGTAGGGGATAACTAGCTATAAGAGACAAACGATAATAAGTTAAAATGTTACTATTACGCAAGAGCGGACATGAAAGAGAGTATATCATTTCGGAACATCTCACAGACAGTAAACGCAAAAATAGTCAGGTCCAATTTATTTTCAACAGGGTTCATTCTCGGCCAGACAGAGCTCTTCAGTTTCCTAGATTTTATCAATGTATTGCGATCTTTAGGATGGAGACAAAAGTGCCTGGACAAACATCAGATCAACTTTAACAATTCAAGAAAATGATGCTGAAGTGTTTGGTATAATAAATGGTAAGTGCACATAGGAACAAACTCAATATATCGATTACCACTCTCGATGTTAGATATAAAAATTAACGAAAATCTTATTCCTATATACCAATAGTACAGCGTCATATCCGAATGTTTAGACTTGATAATTTCCAAGGTCATTGGACTTTCTAGGACTCTCTTTCAGACTATTCCTTGATTCATCTGAATAATTAGATTCAGTATACCTTCATGTGAAATTGTGATGTGATAGAAATTAAGGAAACGAGTAGCTCTTAAGGCCGGTCCTTTTTAATTCAATGCAAACATATAAAAACGATTAGTAAACGTATTACTTCCTGCTCCTTAATACGGTTTCTAATTGAATTCATCATCTTAAAGTTTGCTCTCCTACTTCTTACTTGCTCACTCCTACTTGCTTCCTATCCTGCCTTGGCATACGTGACAATTTTTATAAATATTTACCAGTTTTGCTCATATAACTTTCGACCATTTTGTTAAGATGTCCACCATTCGATAGAGCGTATTGATTAACATCACCGGAATTTGCTATCTTTTCGGCTAAGTCCAACGTTGTGGTATTCATTCTCTTAGCGACATTAGCCAATAAATTGCCCGAGTTGGCGTTATTCGATGGATTTAAACTTATCTCTAGGGCTTTGGTTAAAACTGTTGGATAGAGAGAATTGTTGGTAGCTCCGAGCATTCCACCTGAATTTGGTAAATTTGTATGGCCTCCCACAATTTTACTTACTGTTGTAGGAGCCAACGATTTACATATGCGTCTAAGATTTGTACTGGTCTCTTCGTTTTTTATCCAATCGGAATTATCATCGTCTAACTGCGTATATTCAATGCTGTTAGTTTTCAACCAAGATTTGAAATCTTGTGGATGTACTTGCTCAAAGATTTCAGGAGTACGATCTATCCTCGCAATTGCGCCGTCATTTACTGTATCTTTCGATTTTCGTACATTCTTCAATAGACGCCGTCGTGCTGGTCCAAAGTGCCTCTTCTGTGTCGAAGCTGAATGGCTGTGCAGTCTGTTATATGGATCGTTTTTGGTTTCTAACCAAGTATTTACGTCTACAGGGTTCGTCTCGTCAAAGTTGCGAAGAGCGTGATATGTTTTCGAACCCATGTCATCCCGTGCTTCTGATGGCGTTTCCTGTGGGTCCAGTCTATAGTCTATTTCATCTTCAGTTTCAACTTGACCAGCATCATCTTTTATTCTCATATTCAAACCGTTTTCCATATTTATTAGACGTTTCTCGTTAAAATCATCAGCGGTACGATAAGATTTGATGTCTTCAGTATCGTCGTCTTCGTCTTCTTGAACAAGCGGTTCAGTTGTGCGGTCATCAATTGCATCTCCCAAATCTTCTAAATCTTCGACATCTTTTCCCAAAACAGAATTGTGCTTCATGTTTGTGTGTTTTGGATAAACTTTTGCTATTTTTGATGGATGAAATTGTTCGAGAGTATCTGGGTAATCATAATCACTATCTCGTTCGTCCATTTCTTCATTCCCCTCTGAATCTGTTTGTGTTTCGAATTGAACATCTCGCTTAGGGTCTTTTGTCCAAATTAGGTTATTATCTGGTTGCGTATGTTGATCATTTTTAGTCGTTAACCATCTTTGTAATGGTAATGGATTTTCCCATGCGTATGAATCAGCATTACGATCGTAACGATTACCTCGTTTATCTAAGGCCTGCAGAGCGTTATTGATTATATCAATTTGCTTTTTGTACTCTTCGAACAAACTCTCTTTGATTGTATTGCTGTTTGTAAAATCGTAAAGTGTTTTGTCAAATCGAGCTGGATTTGGTGCAATTTCACCAATAAAGGCCTCTTTCCGCCTCTTTGTCTCAGCAGTTTCGCTTTCAGTCGTTAAATGGGAGTTACTTTTGAGCCAATTGAGGAAACTGCGGCTCAGGCGGTCTGCTGTTAAGGTGTTCTCTTCTTTTCTTAATCCATTTTCGACTTTGTCTACGCGTTTTTTATACTCTTCAGAGAAACTATCTTTCATTGATGATCGCTTATCGTCCTTTCCGTTGTCAACTTCCTCATCGTAAGTCATCGCCGATTTATCTTCATTGGCATGGCTTTGCGGTTGCTGTAGTCCTCGTAACTCTTCACATATGCTGAGGTTATTTCTGAGAGCTTTTTTCTTCTCATTGTCAATCTTATGAAAGGTTAACTCCTTTTCTACTGCGTCTA